CCCGGCCTGGGCAGGAATAATGAACCCCCCCTCTTATCTCAAAAATAACCAAAGGCAGAAAGGGGTAGCGCTGCAGCACCCCTCCCCCCGACTCTGGGTCGGGCTCTGTGGGGTGACGGAGTTTGCCGCATCAGCGAGGCCACACCACGCGCGCGCGCGCGGGTGATAGAGAGGATGGTGGAGAAGATGCCATATGCATGGATTACAAGCGTGTGCCACCATGCTGAGCTCTCTAGTCGCCTCAGCCTGCACCTCATCCCTGATCATCCCACACATCACGGCTAAGCCCGGGCAGCTTGGTTTCCACAGCCGGCCGCACCCCCTCGGGAAGGGCGTCTGCCTGGGGTTAGGTAAGCCGGCACGTCAGCCTTCGGCTCTGCCACGCGAGTCACACCTCCAGTCACCTCACGCCTCGGCTGCTTTCCAGGCAGGATCTCCACGCGTGCCTGGGCTAGCCTGGACTCCCCTCCTCCCAGTGTGTTTCCCAGTGTGGCAGGGATGGCAGGCGTGCACCGCTGCTCGGGGCCATGGAGCAAGATGGAGTCCCACAGACTTTCCTGCCTAGGGTTGGCCTTGGATCAGGATTCCCGGGTCTCTGCTTCCCAGGGTTGCATGGATTACAGGCTTGAGCCACGGCACCTGGCAGTTCCTCTTCTTTTCTTTTTTTTCTCCCTAAGTGTCCTCCTTAGCTGTCACTTAAAATTCCTCTCCAGGCGCTCGCTCCGTTTCTGGCAGCCGTTGGAAGAGGCGATTATTCCCCGAGTCGCATTCCCGCCTCTCGGAGCAGATAAAAAAAAATAGATATAAAATCACATGCACCGAGATACTTTTTTTTTTTTTTAAGCCCAAGAGTAGGCGGCAGATTGACAGGCGGGGGCCTGGGGTCCGTGGGGTGAGGGCTTTGTGGTGCGTGGGAGTTTGAGAACAGGAACTTGCCTTGGGGTCTGAACCCCAATCACGGCAGACGTGAGGACCCCGCAGCCCCGGGGTCTGCTCTGTGCGTTTTGCAGGCCGCGCCCCTCTGTGAAGGCGGGGGAAGGGGTCTCTGCGGCCGCAGGGGAGGCCGGGCCTCTGCATCTGCAGCAGCTCCAGGGCTTGGGGTTTCCATGGAAACCGGCCTGTGTTTTGAAGAGGCAGCGACAGCTTCAGCGCCCGGGAGCTGGGGGGGCGGGCCGCCCCCCTCCCCCGAATGTCAGCAGATGGCAACATCACCTCCTTCTGGAGCTTTCTCGGACACGGTCAGCTTGACCTTCAGAAGGAGAATAGCACGGCTCTTCCCCAGCCCCCCTCCCCCCAGCATCAACCCCTCCCCCTCCAAACCCCCACTGCTGCTCCAGTATTCAGCCAGGGAGAAGGATCTGGAAGGAGAGGTGACGCCTCTTGCTCTTGCCTTTGGCATTGGCTGTGGAGAGGCCTGAGCCCGGCCCGGCCTGCGGGACCCAGTGCAGGTCACCCACAGACCCCTTTCAGCCTCATTCTCCTGTGGGTACAGTGCACCCTGGCGTGGCTCCCTGGGCTCGAATGCAGAGCTTTGCACCTGTTCTGCTTTTATTTAGTTTGACTCATAGCTGGTGTTCTACCACTCAAACTATACCTCCAGGGCCGCTTCTTGCCAGTTCATTGGCGATCAGAGTCTCTTGGAAATTTCTGCCTGGGACTGGCCTCGAACCACGATCCTCAGGTTGCAGCCTCCAGAGTAGCTAGGATTGAAGGTGTGAGCCGCCAGTGCCCAGCTTGTCCTTTGTCTTTATTTCCGTGAGTGCAGCTGGGGTGGTGGAGTCCCGGAAGCACCGGCTCTGAGTGTGCAGCGGAGGGCTCTGGCAGGGAGGGCTCTGGCTCCTGCTCTGGCCAGGAGGTGAGAGACTGGAGAGACTCAGGAAGGAAATGGCCTTGGCCAGGCCCTGAGAGCCGTGCCCAGGGCGCCACCTGCTGGCTGAAAGCGGCCCTGCTGGCTGGCGACACCCACCCTCCTCGGCCCATCTGTCAGCTGCCATGCATCTCTTCCACCAACATTTCAAAACACCTGCTGTGAGAGATGCCCGCACCGCCCACCGGACACCGCAGCAGCCCCGCACACGACAGCATGACCAGCTGGAGGGAGGACGCGGGGCACTGAACCCAGGGCTACTGAGCTGCCCGCCGGGTAGTAGGGGGTTAGTTCAGGACGGGTAAATGTGTATGTTGGAGCTGTGAGGTGAGGCAGGTTGAGGCAACTGAGGCAGGGGTTCAGGAACTCCAGGGATTCAGGGACAAACACTGTATGAGTATCATCCTTTGCTTTCAGCCTTACCCTCCCTCAAAATGACTCCTTCAATCACAGAAGGGGGGGTGGCAAAGAAGAGAGCTATTCAGGAAGGATGCTTGGCTTCAGGGGGGACCCTCTGGCAAACCCATCCTTTGCTTATGGGGGCACACAAGGTGACATCTGTGTCACCAAAGACCCAAATTTAGCAACCAGACCAGAGTCAGTATCTCTGGGACCAACTGATAATGTCAAAGCAGGCTCCCAGAGCCAGGCACAGTGGCTCACACTTATAGCCCCGGTTACTCAGGAGGCAGAGATACAGAGAACTGCGGCTGTTTCAGGTCCATCCAGGTAAAACATTAGCAAGACCCTATCTCAGCAAATAAACCAGGCATGGTGATGTCATCTGTAATCTTAGCTACAAGGGAGGCGTGGGTGGGAGGATCCAGGTTCCAGGTAGGCCCAGACAAAAAAGGAGAAATCCTTATTTAAGAAACAACCTAGCCGGGAGCTGGTGGCTCATGCCTGTCATCCTAGCTACTCAGGAGGCTGAGATCTGAGGATCGCGGTTCAAAGCCAGCCCGGGCAGGAGAGACCGTGAGACTCCTATCTCCAATAAATCACCAGAAAACCGGAAGTGGCGCTGTAGCTCAAGTGGTAGAGCGCTCGCCTTGAGCTGAAGAGCTGAGGGACAGCACCCAGGCCCAGAGTTCCGGCCCCATGACCCCCCCCAAAAAAAAAGAAAGAAAAAGAAACAACCTAAAGTAAAAAGGGCCAGGGGTGTGGCTCACGTGGAAGAGGCACAGCCCAGCAAGTACAAGGACCTGAGTTCAAACCCTGGTACTGACAACCGCTCTTTCCCCCAAAAGAAACTCCAGCGCAACAGGAAGAATGGTGGAATGGACCTGGTGTCAGATCAAGGGGAGTCTGAGGCAGACACAGTCTCCTTTTAGCTCCTAAGTGCCGGGGGGGGGGGGGTTAGTGCAGCATCCTCACCATTGATTGGCCTTGCCCATCCCCCTTCCCCCCGTTCCCCTTCCCCCCGCCTGGGTGTGCCTTATTATGTCTTTGCAGACCTTGATGGATCCTCAGGGCTGGGCTGTGGCCTTCTCCCACTGGTGGACCTCCTTCCCAGAACCCCAGGGGTTCACCTGACAGTAGGAAAGAAAATCTCCCTCTGTAAAGCATTTAAGCTGTGAATCTTGTGGTCCCACCAGCCCAGTCTGCCTGCGCTCAGCATTGGGAGCCCGGCGTGCTCAAGTCACCTGCTACTGTGGCCAAGCCGTGGCCTCTGCCCCCAAAGCCCGGCCACGCCACATCCAGCCATCTGGATGTTTCCTTAGTTGAGGAAGATCAGCTTCTCTTTAAAACCAGACTGGAGCTGGGCAGTGGTGGCTCACGCCTGTCATCCTAGCTACTCAGGAAGCTGAGATCTGAGGATTGCGGTTCAAAGCCAGCCGGGGCAGGAGAGTCCGTGAGACTCTGATCTCCAATAAACCACCAGAAAACTGCAAGTTTTCTCATCGTGGGGATGTATTTTCCCCCCAAATGATTATCTAGCTGTACTTCTTTGGGGGAGGGGAACCTTTTTCAAACTCAACGCCCCGCCCACATGCCCCACCTTCCCGTCTGACAGTCACGTGGAGAGGGGGTGCCCTCACCCCACCCCACGGGCAGGCCTCCCCTCCCCCCATCACAGGGATGGGTAGCAAGGACCCGTCCACGCCTGATTTTCACGTCTTTTATTAGCATCAATGTACACAAAGTGGAAATGACTTCCTCTAGCTTAGAAAGTTGAGTTTTTTTTCTTCTAAATTCTGTTCAATGATTGAAAAATGAAAATGTCCTGGGAGAAGTCCCACTTTTAGAGGTGCTGGGCCACCCATGGCGACCAACCTGGGCTCCACCTGCAGCTCCCCCGGTCCTCTGCCGGTCCCCCCTCCTCGATCCCACCACCCCAAGCCTGAAGGCTGGGTGTCCTCGGGGCGGGGCGGTGGTGAGTTCGCAGAGCCCCGCCCGAGCTCTGGGGCGCTGTCCGGGGAGCAGGGCCGCGTGCAAAGGCCGCGGTGGGAGCCCAGGAACCGGGGCTGTGGGGAGCCGGTGTCTGCTGAGGGATTCCAGCAAGGAGAAGAGAAAAGAAACACTTAAAGCCAAAGGCTGCGGCGCTCGGAGCTGAGGCGGGCGGCGTGGACTCTGTATGGCCGCCGGGCGTGGCTCGCTCTCGGGGGATGCGTGTCCTGCGGGGTCTCCCCGAGCCCAGGCCGTGGGAAGGCCCTGGGCAGCCTCGGGCTTCTCCTGTTGGAAGACAGCGACTCTCGATGGCCTCTGAGGCCGGCGCCTGCCCGGGGAGCGCCGCCGACCCTGTCTATGGCGCTGCGACTGTGTTTCCACACCACAAGGCCGCGTTCGCAGATCTCAAAGAGGAAAAGAAGACAAAAAGCAGAATCAACACAGCAACGTGTCTTTGCAATCACCCTGTACATCTCGGGGCCAAGAGAAACCGCGGACCCCCCACAGGAGAGTGGGGGGATCCCGAAAGACAAACCACAAAGCAACCCCTTTCCATCCATCATAGCCAAGAAGGGCTGGGCCGGGCGGTGGCCCAGGCGTGAGAGTGCGATTCGGTGTCCTGCCAGGCCTTACAGCAAGCGGGGTGCTCTCCCCCACCTGGCGCCCCTCCCCGCGCCCCACGCGTGGAGGGCTTCTCCTTTGTGAAGGCAGGCTGCCCCGGACCCGGTCCCGGTCCTTTCCCCACGGGCGGGGCTGGCTGCGGCCCGCACCCCGGCGCTCATCTTCCAGGCCACAGTGGACGAGTTCGGGTCAGCTCCTCTGGAGCTGGGGCATGTCCTGCGATCTTCTTCTAGAAGTTTCCACAGCCAGTGCCAAAACAGACTCCCCCGGCCCCTCACTGAAGGTGGCAGCGAGGTCCTGTGCTTGTCTGATGGCACGTGGAACGCAATCCTAGAAGCACGGGAGGGCGTGGAGAGGGCGCTGGGTGCCAGCGAGCCCGTGGGCCCGTGCTGTCCATGGGGGGGCATGGCTGGGGGCCATCCAAGCCACCCTACCCAGCACCGCCCTTACGCCTGCCATACCCCGTCTCCTGGTGCCTTTTCTTGGTACCTGGGCTTAGAAAAGGGTCCCCACAAAATACCAGGAGGTGATGGGGTTCAGTGGGGTCGGTGACCTCCGTGTCCACCTGGCCTTCCCACCCCACGGGTGGTGCAGTCTGTAGTGAGCTTCGCTGTGATTTCCCCATGGAAATCCACGTCCATGTCCCAGGCCCCAGAGAGCAGGAAATCCCCCCGGGTTCAAAAGTCACACACCCCAGGCAAGGAAACAGAGCCTGGGGTTCAGAGCCTGCCATCCCCCCCCCTCCCAACGCTGGACGCCCTCCTGTGCACAGATCCGCTGTCCTGGCCTGGGGCAGGGCCGGCTGCTGGCCTTCTCTGCAGGCTCATCTTCGGAGGGCCACAAAGAACATTTTAAACCCTGCGCCCTCCCACATCTTCCTCCGCTGCCGCCTCGGTGGCACACACCTGTCATCTCAGTTACTCAGGAGGCTCAGATCTGAGGATCGTAGTTCAAAGCCAGCCCGGGCAGGAAAATCTGTGAGACTTATCTCCAATGACCTACTCCAAGTTGGAAGTGGTGCTGCAGCTCAAGTCGTAAAGCACTAACCTTCAGCAAAAGAGCTCAGGGGACAGTGCCCAGCCCTGAGTTCAGGCCCCAAGACTGGCACGCACGCGCACAGAAAGGCCCCATATTCCCAGCTCTTTCCCCTTCCTCCCACCATCTCCACCTTGCAGCCGTGCAGAGGCCGGGCGGGCTGGGGCCATGCTGGTGTGTCATGGGGGCCATGGTGCAGGGCAGGGGCGGGGGGGAGGGGGGGCGAGGCCCGCTAGAAGCTGGTAACATTGGAGAGGAGGGCACAGCGTTTATTCCGGAGCAAAACCAAGCCCTGGCTGCATTCCAACCCAGCGAAGCGTCTGCGGGAGCCTGGGGCGGCCGGAGGTTTGCACGGAGTCAGGGACGGGCTGAGAGGCTGCAGCGGTGCGCGCTCCCGCCGGCCGCCCTCTGCCGGTTGGTGGTCGGTGTTTCACAGCTGCTGTTTTTCGTGTAAGTCTGTCGTCTGTCTCCTGACCGTCTCCCGACGACAGCCCCATTTCAGTGTTAAATAGAATAAATACAGTGAAGAAAATGGCGGCTCTTCGCAAGAGTCTAAAGCAAAGGCGGCAGACGCTCTGGGTGTTGATCTGGTGGCACAGGTCCGGGGTGGGTGTCTCCAGAGGGCTGTCACGGGTGGGCGTCCGGCTCGGGCACAGCCCCCGTTAGATAGAAACCTCGTACTCCCTGGTTTCCTGTAGGGAGAGACGGCAACCTGTCCAGCTCTGCATGGCGGCCCAGCATCCCCGCTCCCCGCGTCCCTGCCCGGGGCCCTGCGTGCTGCACAGCAATTCCGCTCCGCCCCAACCTGCTTGTAAGAAAATGGCTGGTTAACTGGAGTTGAGTCGCTAGGATTACAGGTTTGAGCACCAGTGCCTGGCATGGCTTGTGGCATAGAGCTAGGGTCACCGCTGGCTCCTTCTCCAGCAGCCAGCATGGCGGGGGCATGGGGGGGTGGGTGAGATGGAATCCCTGCCCTTCCCATGCCCTGAGAGAGGATGCAATGCCACTCACCCCAGTCTCATAGATGGGGTTGTCGAACTCGGTTTCCACGGTGATCTGGCTGTAGGGGTGTGCATACATGAGCGGCAAGCGGAGGCTGGAGTAGTAGCGGCACCTGAC